TGTAGGGGTGATCGTCCCATTCATGTCAGTTATGATATTGATTCACTGGATCCAAAGGAGGCCCCAAGCACAGGGACACCAGGTTAGATTCTCTTGGCAATGCAGGGTGTAGCACAGTAAAATATAACCCAATTGAGCTGTCATATATGCTTTGGCACTGTTTATTAATCTAGATACTGTTCTAACATTCTGAGCGTTTCCTCTGTTTTTAGTGAAAGGAGGCTTGACATTGGATGAAGGAATTTACATCGCTCAAATGGTGGCTGAAACAGGTTTGTTTACACCGAATAACAATCCCAAGTGTAAATAAGCAAAAATGCACTAATGTTGTTTCTTTCTTTTTTACTTTGTTTGCTTGTTTGTTTTTTCTTTCCAGATTAACACAATCCTTTTACAACAGCAATTTTCAATACCATTAATTTGACCAGAAATTCTTTGAAAATTCCATTTAACTCTCTCTAGCAATGATAAATTGTTTGAATTTTAAAAGTCGCAGAACTTGGCTATCATTGCTTATTTCATAGTTATCAACTCTGCATAACTTTTACAGTCAAGGCAGGTCAAACGTACCCCCCAAGATTCTATTAATGAATTGATTATTTGAGAAATGACCCGTTACTCGTTCCCGTTACTAGTGTCAAATTCAAATCGGCATTCCTGCGTAATGAGCAGTGAATATTTTATAAGAACTTATCTGTATCTGGTCAGATTGACTATCTTTGAATGGTTAAAATTGCTTTGAACACATTTACATCAAGCTCTGGAAAAATGAGGAGGTAGATACTTAATTAACTGCCTTGCTTGTGAATTCACAGGTCATTACACATGCAAAATGCAGATATGAACCTGAAATCTACTACCAACGGCTTTCGAGTAATAAATTCATTGATGGAATCTTCGGAGGTACGCTTGACCTGGCCTGACTGTACCAATCTCCATGCTGAAGACTGTCATACTAATTATCTGTTATTTCTGCCTTATTGTAGGGTGCCTCTCTGCCATAGACATGGTGGAATTTAATCCAGCAATAGGAAGCGAGGAGGAAGTGACAAGAACTGCCATAAATACAATGGAACTGATTAACATATTACTCGGCAAGAAAAGTCACCTCACAGAGGCTCCATTGCCTCCTGTGGATGAAAACAAAGTTGATGTCAATAATGGAGTTGTAAATTAATCTTTTGCAAAAGTTGGGGGTGGGATGGGAGGCTGTTAAGGGTCAGGGGAGAGGTGGGAAGATTAAATCTTAATTCCTTGATAGTGAAAAACACACTACTGCGGGCTATATTATTGGTACTTCCATATGAGTAGATCAAGGAAAAAGTCACCATTTTTGGACAGTGTGAGCACCAAAGACACGTGCCCCAGGGCATTCCAGGGTGTGAACTCTCAGAAAAATTCCTGCTCCTTTCATCTTTTTTTTTGACAATTTTCTGTAAGAAGGTCAGTTTTGGAAAGTTGATTACAAAGCACTTTAGCTGATGTAACGTTATTGTGTAAAGTGTTTTATTTAAGCTCAGTTACTTGTGCCGTTATTTATCGTTGCCTATTGTGTGCAATATTTGAGCAATGTAAATAATTTTAACAAAGTTGGCCTGAAATAACAGAAAGGAAAAGTAACCAGCAGGTTGTAAGCTTAAATGCAAATTATAAATTTTTATTATGTACCATGTGCAGTTCCATGATTTTTAAATGTACGATGAATTATTGTAATTACCAAATAACAATCACGAAAGCAACAACAATATTCGCTACAAATCTCAATACTCAAGTCGCTTTAGAGAGGAAGAAGCCATGTATTCTGTAAAATATAGCTGAATATCATGCGTACTTGTATATGTAAGACCTATGAAGTGTACAATACACGATAAGCTGACAGAAGAGTTTGTATGGGAAATAAAACTCAGAATAAATACTAGACTCAACAGACTGGGTAGATTTCTCATTAAAGAGCATAGAGCAGTGATGCCGGGAATTGTTCCGTCTTTCCACGAGGTTTCAGCGCTATTTTTATGGTTTTGGATATATTTACTAAGTCAACCGGTAGAATCCACACACAATGGTATACCGAAGTTGCATCTGTCAGTTCCAGCTACCCTCAACACCCCTCGGGTAACTGAGGGGGCGTTTGGGCACCTTCTCAATCGAGCATTAGCAAATATAGCGCTGCCTAACTCCAGAATAGACAAGTGCCCAAAAGCCACCCTAGGGCCGATTGACACGCGCGTGTTGACTCGAAATACAAACATTGACGACTTTGTTACGAGGAGCTAGCAATTTGACGCAGATTAACTTGTCTGTCAAGGACTGAGCAAACCTGAAGATTCTTCTAACTGTTGTGCGCCCTTCAGTCAGGTATTTGTTTTACCAGGCTCTCTTTGTCAATTCGGACATGGAGCCGGTGGCTTTGCCGTTTCTTCAAGAGAGTTCTAGTCAAGGCTCAAGTTGATGGAGATGGTGGAACCGAGTTAGGTGCATTCGTTCACTACCTCGAGAGTGTGGTCGCCGATTTTAATATCGGGGGTTTGGCTGACACACATGGTTTATCTTGAGGCTGATTGGACAGTGGCCGAAGAGTGGATGGCCTCCCTCATGAAGTTCCATCGGGAGATAGCATGCTGACCCTGGGGGTACTCGAGGGCTTTCTCTACCTCGCTGAGGAATTTGCGCTGATGCTCTGAGTCAGAAGTCCCGGCTGAGTTTATGCGGGGAGTTTCTTGGTTGCACACCAAGGCATGATCACTATCGCATTCGGCGCTGTGGTAGCTGCGAGTAGAGAGAACGTTGGGCAGGCTGCGTCGTCTGGTGATTACTAGATTAAGCTGGTACCATGATCTTTGGGACCGAGAATGTTTCCATGAAACATGATGTTGCGGCTTCCCTTCAAATAAGGTGTTGATTATGCACAGATTGCGCGTGGAGCAGAGCTCCAAAAGTCATAGTCCATTTTCTTTCATTTTGCCGGTCAGATCCATCCCTGGCATTGACGTCGCCAAGGAGCAGAAGCTTCTTGCCTCCAGCTCATTTCTCTGTACAACTCCTCGTAAAAGCGGTCTTTAATGTCTTCAGGCGCGCTCAGAGTGGGGACATGTATACTAAAGAGGTTGACAGGGCCAGCTGTATGTAGGTATGTATTTATACTTGTAGATTCAATGAAGACTAAAGGCAGGCGAAGGGATAGGATGCGTACGACTGTATGCTCAATGATTTTATTCACCTTTTCGTAGGTCATTCGTGAGTGAGGTTAATAATATATAGAGGATATTACACGGTGGCGAGAAGATATGAATTTTATGTTCGAGTGGCAAGAACAATATCTCACGAGTGAGCGAAGCGAACGAGTGAGATATTGTTCTTGCCACGAGAACATAAAATTCATATCTTCGAGCCAACGTGTAATGTTCTTTTTATTATATGGAGAAACCAATTCAACAAAAGCAAAAGGCGGGAATCGTGACGTCATTGAACGATACGACACTCACAAAGGTGACATACGGAAAATACGCCACTCGGGTCCCGGATGAAGTGGCGTATGGAATCTACGAGTGGTTTAGTTCCCAGTAAAACACTCTCCTCCATATAATAAAAATGGCTATCCTTCAAACGTCCTGTGGTCAGTAAGTTCTGTTGCTATTCTCACATATCAAAGAGGGTGTGATATTCTCACGTAATTGTATATGTGTATCCCTTTTTCATCATCCTCGGAGACCCAGGGGCAGTCAGTCAGTTTTCAAGCACAGGCGGAGGAGCCCCTGGGTACCGACTCTCACCGGACCATTTCCAAACGGTCAAGTGAATGCTGGCTCCTGATTGGGCACAAAAAATGCTTTGTATTATTGTGCCCAATCGGGGAACAGCATCTCCTGAGTTCTTTTCGAGAGTTCGTACACGACGCGACAGCTATTGACTCGATCACGGCTTGTCTGGCTTATGCACCAAACAAATGCACTCAGTCAGGAAACTTTCAGTTTGATATAAACACTTTATTTCAAAATACTGGTTGGTTGTCTTTACACTAGGCTGTTAAGTAAGACTTAAGAGCCGCTAAGTTTTACTTAACCAAAAATGCGTGTGTGAAGGCCTAAGTAAAATCTCAAGTAACTTTGCTTTGCATCTCATTAAAGTCGGAAAGTTGAAACGATTCAAGAAAGTTTCAAGCGACTTGAAAACCATCCTTATGGCCTACTTAGCTGACTTGCGGTTTTGCGGTTTCTTGAGCTTTGAGAAAGGCGAGACATGTCAATCAATCTTAATTTTGTTGCGTGGGAAAATAACCTGAAGTAAAAAAGAATCGGTTGTGTGTGAAGCTTTATTTTACTTGAAGTAATTAAAATTTACTTGTCTTGAAATATTTCTTAGCTTATTTAGGCTCTAGTGTAAAGACTACCACTGTCTACCCGAAAACTAAAGACGCTTTTCCAAAAATACAAGCTTGAGCTTACAACAGGTATTCACACTTGCATCGATCATGCCTTCGTAGATCTTAAGGAGTTTAAGATTCCACGACAGCTGACAGCCACGAACACGTCGCATGAAAAGTGAATTCACATTTTTCCAGTCTCTATCGTGATTATCCCAACTCGCTTACTTTGTCAAATGCAAGCGAACTCTTCTGGAGCTGATTTTCTATCAACCATATCCAAGTTCATAAAGAGAAAGAAAATTTTGTCATTGTTTGTTTACCTTCTTCACAAAACCTGAAATTAGGCATCTTCACGTGGTAGTCGTGCAGTGACGGCAAAGAAATCTGCAAAATGCGTGATGCACGTGCAAAGTTGTTGTTTTGCCTTGTCAAGCTATTGCTTTTTTATTATCTCGTCGCCGCCGCATATCTTAAACTTCCTATTACCTGATTATTTACGATACATTGTGATCCGTGAGAAACAGAATTTTCTCAGTGCAAAATGAATTGTTCCTGCTGATAGCATCCGAAACGTTTTTCGACTCATCGGTAGGTCCTTCGTTTCTGGTTAGGAAAGTAGAAAATGGAAGTTTCCCTTGTACGCACAAGCTTGGTGAACGAACCGGGCAACTGTGGCGACATAATACCCATCGTGTACGAACTCACGAAAAGAACTCACGAGAAACTGTTCGCCGATTGGGCACAATAATACAAAGCATTTTTTGTGCCCAATCAGGAGCCAGCATTCACTTGACCGTTTGGAAATGGTCCGGTGAGAGTCGGTACCCAGGGGCTCTTCCGCCTGTGCTTGAAAACTTTCGTCGCGCCTTTTCTCCCGGCCCGACTGACTGCCCCTGGGTCTCCGAGGATGCTTTTTCATTGAAGATCGGTATGAACTTATATTTCCAGTAAGGTACCATTTACTGTGTATAGCAAGAGAAGCTGTCTCGGGGGGGAGGATCACTCGCCTACTCAAGCTACACTAGGCGAGTCAACTTTCCATACATTTCCCTATAAAAATGGGCAAAACGTTTTCATGAGGAACAAAAAGTTGGCTTGGCTAGAAGGGTAACCCGTCTACCCTGTGAACCTTTTTCGATACCATAGTTCCCCTCTTGGCCAGGTCAACTTTTCTCCGCATAAACACTTTGGCTCGCCCAGCCAGCTGGGTCAACTCGGTCAAGGCAAAACAATCAGAGCATGCGCGAGTATACAATTGGCTCCAGCAAAGGTTGAGCAAAGGGGTTTTAATAGGTAATGGGAAAAGGTTGGAAAAAGGGTCAACTTTTTCCTCATATAAACGCATAAAAGTTTTTTCGGCTTGGCGGGTGGCCCTCTTCCCCGGGACATCTTTCTTCATTTAATGGGGACCTAAGAATTAAGACATTATTCGAGCATTTCGAGCATTATCCGTTTACTAATTCCAAGGAGACAGACTTCAAATAATCGTTACTCCTGCAATTATCTACATGCAGTAGCCGCTCATCATAAGGATGCCTAAAATGCGTGCAATAGACCTTTTTACCGATACGGCGGCCATATTGAATTAATTAGATTTAAGGCGTATTATGGGATGCCCAGGGGGCATTAGCACGATCCGATTTAAGTGCACTTTTCGGGGCAATATTTCTTTAAGTTTTTCTAGAAAAAGATTGTAATGGGAAAAAAAGATCGATCGTTCTGCGGTGTTTGGATGTAATAACGATCGCCCTTTTCCCGAGAAATATACAGTGAACTTCCCTTTTTGCCCAAAAAGCGCGTATAAATACTGAGCG